AATTTTTTTATAATTAATCCAAAATAAAGATCAGGAGTTATTAAATCATTATATACTTCTAATATTTAGTATTTATTGTACTTTATCATGAATGAACTCTTAATCTAACAAGATAACTTGATAAATTTTTTGTCAAATCAGTTTGATATTACCAGTATTAATTTAATATTATACTAGATTCATTTTAGTTTCAAAAAAAACTAGATTTAATTCAGATATATAATATTATAGTAAAGAAATTATTATTTTCAGTAACTTAATTATCATATTGATATATTCACATTCAAACTGGTAAAAGATTTGAGCAAAATATTATAAAAAAGAGAAATTACAAATATACCAGTTCAGTAAATAATATTTCATTTTCATCAAATGGTTTTTAGTTGATTTTAAATAATATTGATATAATAAGTCAGTAATTTTTAACCAATATTTTATGATTAATATTTATTTATTAAAATTATTTCAGAAATATATTATATTATAAGGTAACTATGATATTATGGCGGGGTTAATAATTAATCAGATAATTATTCATTTGAATCCAAAAACAACGTAACGAAACATATTCCCTGCGAATTTTCAGATCCAGACCTAATCTTTTTTGCATCGTTGACGTCATCAACCAATTTTTACGTAACACAACTTTTTGGTCGCCCTGTGGATCCATGTTAAGGACACTTATGAATTAAAGGTTAGTATCATGTGTTTTATTTCATTTATGTTTTACATAATATCTCGTGAATTACTTTATAAAACTGGCGAATTTTTTTATTATTAACATTTAGTATGTTGGCATCACTAATTAAAATTTTACCTTCGTTTGATTTGATTGATAAGAGATAAAATATTATCTATTATCTTAATTCAATAAAAATGAAATATTTCCCCTTTTATTTGATTCTTCCGACACGTATCCAATAGGACGTTTATTGTTTGTTTTATGCTCTTTGGAATCTAGTTTTTTTTAAAAAAATCAAAATAGTATACTATATTTTAAAACGTTGAGACGTCATTGTTGTTAACGAGAAACTTAGAACAGTTTCATAGGCTAGATTTTTTGAGTTACGCGTTGATCTTGTGATTTAATTGGTCATCATCTGACATCTTCAAAAAATATCACATGACCAGAACTTTTGGGATCGGCCTGGTGGATTCTCTTCATGTTAACCCGGGACCGGGGGTTTAGGATATTATCCTAGATTTCTAATAAACCCGAAAACAAATCCGACACAAGAAAATGAAAAATACGGAAAACGGATCTGGCTTGAAGCTCTAATAAAAAATGTCGGGTAGACAATTGTAGATAGAACCTTGTCCTCAGTTATAACCCTACCCTGACCTTGTTTATTGCAATGCAATTTTCCGAAGTAATATCCTAAAACTTGGCCAATCTCTCGCTCAAAGCAGATTTGGATCGGTGGGTTGCATATCCGGTTTGTGGTTGTAGCTACCCGGGTGAATGTGGATGGGTCAACCATCAATTAGCTACATCCGCTAGACCATCGTTATATTTAGAAACCGAATTTGTTTAATCTATCAAAATTAAATTAGATTAATTGGCCGTAGATAATCATAATCATTATAACAAAAGATTTGTTTTTGCCAAATAAACAATTTATATGTATGGGGTTTTCATGGCAATAGAATAAGTGGTATCGTTAAAAAACATATCGATATTAAAAAATCCACTTTTTTAAGGTGCTATTAGTCCTCCAGAAACAAACGTAGAACAATAAAAGACGAAAAATGATAACGTATTGACAGTAGTCATAGGGACTAGAGTTTTTTGGAGGACAAATTTCTAACGGGAAAAAAATTGTATCCAATAAATACACTGTAAAAGTTAATCAACAAAATGACTGAAAGCGTTACTAGTTCTCCAGAAATAAATATGGAACAATAAAAAATGAATATATTGAGTGTAGTAATGGGAAGCAGAGAGTTTTTCGGAAGACGAAATTTCTATCGGGATAAATTGTATCAAAACTATCATATTGTATGCGATTTTTTCCCGTTAGAAATTTCGTCCTCCGAAAACTCTCTGCTCCCCATGCCAATGATGCATACCATCTAAAGTCATCAAACGTCTGTATTTTATAAAATGGATAAACTTCTCAACTAAGAAGTCAATTCAAAATTTAATCCGTAAATATGGTAAAATAAGCCTTTTTCTACCATATTTAGGATTAAATTTTGAATTGACTTCTTAGTTGAGAAATTTATCCATTTTATAAAATACAAACGTTTGATGACTTTAGATGGTATGTATATGCACCATAACATAATTATTGTATTTTTTGAAGCATCATTTTCAATTTCAATGAGACCATTAAGCGTTTTCTGAAGAATTATTAACTGATTAAGAATCATATTTTGAATGCTTACATGATATCCATAATAGACATAAAATTTCATCATTCAATAGGACATTTTGAACACATATGTATCAACAAAAAATTTGCTACCTGCCACATAAATATTCATCAGCGCCACCTGAATTACAATTTACAATTAATAATACGCCACCTTCAGTAGTCGAAGCTCTAAATCAAACTCGGCGTTTTTATCTGTCCAACTTGGGGAATTTTTCAAGTACCCTTTGGAAAATTTTTAACGAACAAAAAAAAGGGTGAAAAAGTAAGTAAATCACCTTTAGTTTCAAGTCCTGCAGGAAAATAGCAGGAAACTTCTTTTAATGATCAACACATTCTTATTTTAAATTTACGCCAAGAAAAAACATGTACTTCATTAATGGTACGTAAATGATATCTGAATAATCTTGTTTTTTTTTCTAAAGGCTGTTACATGATAATCGTATCTTGTCGTAATTTAAAATAAGTATACAGTAAATTCTTATAATTATATAGTGTATTATCATTATTGAATTGCTTATATAAAAAATTGAATAAACCTCAATGAAGTTTATTCAGCTATTCAGTATACGTATTCCGATTTAATTATCGATAGCAATACTGTACGTACATGTATATAAAATTCTTCGATAATATGTTACACCAATTACATCACAACATCTACAAAGAATAAAAACAAAGACGATAAATGATGAATACGTATTTCTTTGTTAAATGAAATCATAATTTAACTATGCATTTGGAAATAAAGAGTTGATTTAATTCCATTAAAAATAAAACATTAATGGTTTGTTATCTACACTATCGAATATATTTTACCAACATTAAAAAGACATTCGTTTCATGGTCGCAAAGTTTAGACTAATAAGAAATTTTAATCAAAAAAATTTTTGTTAATATTATTCTCTCTATGTTTATTGAATAATGCGGTGAAACAAATAACTGATATCTTTAAAGATAAAATATTGTTCTTAGTAAAATTGTGTGTATAAGATTCGTAGTGTGACATATTTTAAGAGGTCTTAATTTAATATATTTTATGTTAAGAAGTCTTAGTTTAATTTATTTTATGTTAAGAAGTCTTAGTTTAATCTATTTTATTTTAAGTAAATCGTTTCTATGTATCACAAATAGTAAATACTTTTACTAATTCTTTTAATTACTTCATTTTCATGGGTTACTACTCGTTTTGCTATTGTTTATCGCATCCACATTAGATAATCTTCCACTCTTTTAACAAAAATATTATCGTTAGTATGCTTCAAGTTCAAGCACTGTATGTTTCAGATCAAAAAGAACTTTCTACGAAAAAAATTCCTTTTTGAAAATCTTAATATTATTCTCGACGAACACATTCGTTCTTGCAAATAAAAAACGTTTTTGGGAATACTACCTAAATGATCCCGGCGGGGAAAACGCGCAACCTAATCCTACACAATAGTAACTCAATGCTTGTCAATGAGTACTTGCTTCAACTCGTATTTTCCGAATGTGATCCGCTGTATCTTTTGATCATTCCTCTGTCTCTCAAGACTCTTACAGTTAGTATTGTTAGTATTATTCTTTCGCGTCCAATCGAAAAGTTTATCGATCGCGAGATTGACCACCTTTTATATAGATTGGAAGATCCTCGAAAATAACTATTATTCTCTATAGTTACACACCAAAATGGCTAACCTAATTTGGCACACACATACATAAACTATCCCCCTAGAGTAAATTTTAATGTCGATATGTAATGTGACTTGCAGCTGTTAGCAAATTAGCGCCATTTCTATATCTTGATATTGTTCATAGCATTGACCAAGTTTTCAATAATTCCTATACTAATATGATTTTTAAGTTATAAAGAAGCGTCGGACGATTCACAGAAGTAGGTATGTGCGCATACTAAGTATGCCATGTACAACAAATAATTTTTAACTTACAGTTCGATTGATGTAAATAAACGAGTTTTTTTGCATTTACCGTTACAACAAAAATGGAAAGTTTATTTGTACATGTACCAAACTCGTTGGTACATTTTTATTACATGTAATATGACATTAAAATTAATTACAATTAAATACAAACAATTAAATTAAATTAAAAAATTAAATTAAGATGAAAAATAATAATAAACAAGAAATTGTGTGCAAAATTCTTTCGGTTCGTCTATAATAATGTGATTTTGATGATTTCGAAATGACTATGTAAATTATGTGAAATTCCGTTATGCCAGCCGGATAAATTAACCAAAATGCAAAGTAATGATTTGTATAATGTGAATGAGTGAGGGAGTAAGTGAGAATAATGGGGAACAATTGTTGGTAGAAAGATGAAGGAAGGGTGTGTTATTTTCACGCAAAAATCTATTTGCGAGCGATTTATGAGTTATCAATCAAATCCAGGTTGATTGTTGAAAAGGGAATTTTTTACTTTATGTTAAAATTAGTTTTTTTTTGAAATAAATCAATATTTCTTTAGTATATACGTATTTAAATGTGTATGCTTTTTGATAATATATCTGTCTTAATTTGATGGCTGGTTATCCTATAGGTTCCCCCCATAGATGCATGCTATCTTCTTCACTCTTTGATTAATAGTATCCACAACAGAATGCTGTTATCTTAAGGGAAAAACAATTCACATGCTTTCGATGTCTTCAAAGTCATCGTCGTCAGTTAAACCACCATTTAATTGGACGGTCGCCGACATCTTTTGTTGTTTCATTCGTAAAACAGGTTTCAATGTTAAACTGGCCCTTCTTAACATTCCGCTAAATCCACCTCCGCTTGTCGGACTTTTAATTGATGAAGTGGTAGTTGGTGATTGTATCGATGGCTCATTTGACTTTATCTTGGTAGGTGATGATGTAGTGGCAGAAACGGTTGGAGTTGGTGGAGTTATAAAATGTGTATTTTGTGGACTTGATGGAGCTGAATGAATCTCTGGGTTGACGATTGGTTCATCATCTTTATCAAAATTCAAATACCAACTAGCACGACCTGCTCGAGTGAACAAACGGCTTCCACGTATTAAAGAAGACGAAGCTGTTGAGGACGAAGCTGCGACAGCAGCAAGATTATTTAATGAATTTGATGGTCGAAGCGTATGTGCTGTCGCTGGGACAAGATTTAATTCAGGTGGGATTCTTTTATCACGTGCTGTTGATGACGAATTGTTAAAGCTCGATACTGGAGAAGATGAAGTTGAGACATTTGGTGAAGATGATGAATCAGAATCAGAACGATACAATAATCTTCCAAGAGTTTGTTGACTTCTCTGTTGACGAAGAGGAGGAATATTATCGTCATTCACTTGAATCACAGACGACAGATTATTATTAACAGTATCCGAAGTGTTCGAGCGATGCACAGATTCATATGGAATAATCGGATGGTCATTTTCATTCTCATCCACTTCAAAATTTCTAATTACGTCATCATAAGTTGGTAAACCACTATCCAAGTGATTGCCATCGATTGGTTCATCCGGAATAGTTGTAAAAATGAGAGGAAACTGTAGGTCAAGTCTTTTTTGACTCTCGTCTTCGAAAGAAATAATAATTCGAAGTCTATGTCGAACTCTCATTAATGGACTTTTTACCGTTGCCTTTAATCTTGGTTTTCCATTAGCATTATTAGTACCATTGTTATTATTATGATTAATTGATACAAATGGTAGATTATAAGTCAACGGGTTATTCCAGGCGTCTCCTTCATTCGAGATACTTAAGGAAGTGGGTTTAATCAGATGACTTCTCTTTCGCTTGGTATTTGATGCATCATTTAATTGTACATTTCCAACCAATTGAGTTTCATCAATGCCAAATTCTTGTAAATCATTTAGAGTTGGTTGAATCCTATATTTTTCTGATTGCAGTAAATCAAAAGTAATTTTACGAACTTGACCACGAATCGATAATGGCAATAATCGAACTCTCACAAACATTCCTTTTTCATTCACTCCAACCACCGTCGGTATATCCAATTCATATTTAAGAAAGTTCTTTCGTTGACCACGATAAACTTTCGTCGGTGGCGCTGGCAATAAATCGCGACGACACGGTAAGTAATGTCGGCCGAAATTTATGCTTCGTTCAATGTGTCCATCTCTTGCGAGCATGGAACTGGGTTGAACGACCGCAACTAATTTATAATTGATTAGTCCGAAGGAAGTGACGTAGGTCTGTGGTGTATTACCTGGAATATTGAATTCATAGTCGAAGTCGGTTACACCCCGTGCTATTAACTGTTTCTCGACCAGGATTGACTCAAGTTTCAAGAGGTTGATGGCCGAATATTGATTTTCCCAATCGGAATATTCGGACTTTCCTTTCAGTTTTATGACGACCTGTTTTACTTTCAGTGGCTTCGAAAGAATTATCCGTAGTTTTCCGGCGACTCGGTAGCTGATATCTTTGTTGGGAGCCCCGTACATTATTATTTTTCCATCATTCTCTGGGAAAAGATCGATTGCAATGATACTATTATTCATGATGAAGTTAATGTATGCGTGTGTGTATGTGTTGTTTTGGAAAAAAAAAAAAAAGAATGAAAATGCTAATAATGCGATATGATGATATGATATTGAGTCGGTGATAATTATTAAACTTTTTTTTAGAGCACTCGCAGAGCGTCAAAAATCAATGGAATATATAACAATTTTGTCGGGGATTTAATCTATAAATGGATTTAATGTTTTTGTGTACGTGGTATTCAATACCACAATCAAGAAGACGATGCGTACATAAATGAAGATTTACGAAAGAAAGGGAAAAAATCTTGTTATGGTTATGGACTATTATCGCGATGTATATATACTTTTTTTCTTTATGAATTTTTCAGTACTATTTATGTTGTTTACAGTAGTTTTATGTTACTATTGTTGTGTAAAATTTCCATTGGAAAAATATACATGGTTTACGTTTTAATTTAGTCTATGATGTCTTTTTTATCCGCGCATGGTGCGTGTTTCCCCGAAAAGGCGATATCATCGGCACATCACTGCTCAATAGCTGCTACATGTATAACGATAAGCGAGACAGAATATCTTTTGTGTATATGCATTAATGTACGTACGTGTGTCACGTAAGAGGCAAATTTGTTATAATTATTTACCTTGTCTCAAGTACAAATAATCCATTTTCCAGACCTTGTTTCGGGTTTTGTTAAAATAGCTTACGGATGATGCATTTAGGAACAATGTGGCACACAGATGGACAATAATAGTAACATCATTAACGTTAATAAAGAGATTACACAGTAATAAGATAACAAGTGTGTAACGCGAGCTACTTGCCACGATGCGTGTGTTTGGCATAACGATAATATTAAGGTGGTAGACTAAGCAATCAACGTTAGGTTTTTTTAATTGTCGTGATTTTATTAGTAGGATTCAACAAAGAAAAAATCCAGGCTTAACGTTTTGTTCCTTGCAAAAATAAAATTTAATAGGATGAACAATCGCGAATGATACCTAATCATACCCAAGTACAAATAGAAATATGGGGAAGTTTAATCGAATCAAAAATCACTGATAACAAATCAAGATAAAGGGATAAAAAATCGCAAATGATACCAATAACATATAAAGACGAAGGGAAATTCAATAGAATAAAAAAAAATATCGAACGATGCCGAATAACAAATAAAGACAAAGGGAGCCGACGTATACGTATTTGGTTTGGTCATTTGAACGAATAATCAAAGATATTTTTAGATTTCTCCAAGAAATAATAATAAAAAACAACTCTCTTTCTTCATTCATGTCGATTTAGAAACAATGTCATGCAATGACGATCCAGCTATGAATTTGGGGTGTGAATATGTGGGTGGCAAAAGAATTTTGTGGCTTGTTTTCGAGGCTGAGCGGAATAAGCCAGGGTTGTGACATACATCGAAAATTTGTATTTCTTAGAGACAAAGATATCGATATCGATTCCTTTTAATTTGATTTCCTGTTTAATGTTTCATTATACATGTACATGTACTATCTATATCTATGAGCTGAAGGAAATCATCTACGTACATGTATTACTTTAATCGAATTATAATATATGCGAGTGAATAAGAAAGACAAGCATTCAATATTCTTGATTGTTGATTATTTCAAGCCATGATGATCCACCACATTTGGTTTGTTTGTTCTTTTTTAGGGAATAAATGTAAAAATGGCGCGTGGATGTGTGTCGTTGTTTCAAATTGGTTTGTCAGAAATAAATGCTTAAAAATTTGCGTAACCATAACGATAACAAATATTTTTTTGAAAATAATCTAATCCTTGGCTCCCGAGTTTCACAAAATTCGAAAAGATTCTTCCTTGGAACGATAGCCTTCGAAAATGCTAACGAAAATAGCCTTCTTCCTTTGTCTAAAAGTAATTCTGTGTTTGAAGAATTTCTTCTAATCTACCGAATTATACGAATTTGTCAAAATTCTTGTTAAATGGACGACAAACAAAAATAAATAAATAAATTACACAAATGAACAAAGAGACCGAGAATCAAAAAAGATTGATTGTACGTACATTGAACGCGTAAATACGGATAATTAATGGGATAGCATATAAATATGTACATACGTATATATTTAATTACAGTTTGAACGGTATTTTAAAGCGACCCGCACCATAGATTATTTCCGCAATTAACGTAGAATTAATCATAGGCACTAATTTAGGGAAATTGCGACAGCTTGCAGGATTCAGCGATTTGCCAAGTGTAACTCACGCTTTTTTTAATATTGTCAGCATCTGATGTCAACATTCATTGGATGTGTACAAACGCGAAGAATATTAAAAGTTCGCCAAATTTTCATTGCTTTAACTTTCAATTGGATGCTAACAAAAATAACACTGACATAAATTAGATCATATCGGAAAATATTTATCCGCTCCGTTGCCAATTGAAAAACTACGTATTGTCCGAGAATTAAGCTGTGCGTTTCTTTGCTACATTCAAGGAATAATCTCGACGACCAAAAGAATAATAGCTAACTTTTTTTCGTCCTAAAACTGGATTTCTGTTAATATTTTAAATTAGGTATTATTTCATAATTTTATATTAGAATATTAGAATTAAAAATAACTGGTTGCATAGAAATAAAGTCAAGCTTCGAACTGCAAATATTATTGACAAAGAGAAACGTACTCTAATTAGATCTCAATATGCAATCGTAGTCTATCTTAAATGAAGGCTGCTATATAAAAACAAATAAGTTTATTATTTTATTTTTCATCAAGCTGTTTAGTGGACATTCTTCATTTAACAAGAATAATATTAATTTATTTAACTAAAATGACTCATTATAAGTTTCACTTAACCGATTATAATATTCAAAAATTAAGTTGGAACGAAAAAACGCACTATACACAATAATAACAGCAAATGTATATGTTGTCATTTATGCGCATACTAAATTTACATAACAAAAAATCTAATTTATCAAAAGCTTGGTTTCATCACTTCGATAAAGAAATTTTTATTTCGAGAATAATAAAACTATTAATTGATATTTAACAATAAGCAAAATTACTTTATCTACATGTATCTATTTATAGAAATGTTGTTATATATTTTCTGTAGTAAGAGTCTTTATCTTCTTTCTATCACACAACTCTCGTAATCCTCGCATTATTAACAGTGGAACAACTTGATTGTTAACAAAGAAACACAATAATATTTGCCTTTAACTGTTTTTACCTTTGTCTATTTCTTGTTGCATAAGTCTATGAAAATTTTCTGCATAGAATATTTCCTGCGAGAAAATCTTCAAATGAGACGACGACGTTGTTGATCGAAGTAGGAATAAAGAAATACCTAAAGAGAGAAGGTCAATGTTATTATTAACATTACGATTTGATCGAAAACTTTAAAAGTTCGATTAATCAATAGCAATAGGGCACAACCATTAAAAAGTAAATCATAAATTTCGATTTTCTCGCATTGTTCCTTTATTGTTTGAGGATCAGACACGGGGTTTTTCTATAAATAGATTATAAGGAAAATCCATCCATTCAATGTGATCTTTAAGGAAAAAAGATAATATTAAAAAGTTTTCATGTTCAATTCATTGATGTGAGCTGAATGGCTGAATTAACGTTTATTTTTCCTGGCAAAACATAAAATAAATGATACAATATTATTATTGTTACAAAGCCGAATATGTGAAATTGTGAGTCGAATTTAGTGCATTTCGGCTTATTATTGTCTAGTGTTTCTTACTCTTTAAATTTCTCGTCTCAAATTTTCGCATAATAAAAAAAACATAATGAATTTAGCAGTTGTCAGAATCGTATTTTATTAATTATGGCGCGCTATTACTCAACATTCTTTTTAGCATGCTATTTATCAAACCAACTAGAATTACTTCAAGAACATGATGTGATTGTGACAGGATTTTTTCACTAACTAATCAATCCTTTACTTTAAATCGTCCATAAATTTTCTATGGAATTGAGATCAGGACTATTGAATGGCCATTCCAAAATTACGGGATATTGTTCTTCAAGAGATTTTTTTATTCCTTTAGCTGTGTGTTTCAGATCATGTCTTTTGAAAGATTATATGTAATATCAAATAAATTTGTTTGAGTTTTGATAATAGAAAGTCATTATTCCTGTATGCATCCAATTGGATCAACTTTGCCAGTTATAAACACAACTTTTCAATTCTCAAATGAATTTCAAGAGAATCTCATACTAGTCTAAGTTAAACAAGCTCGAAAATTATATCGATATGACCAGCATTTAATATGAACTTAATCATTATTATAAAATCTATAAAAAATATAGTATTGTGTCAGTAAGAAATGTAATAATTAATTATAATGAGGCAAAATTAGTAAGAGTTGGTTTATTATTATCTTTTACAATCGACCATTTTATTCTGGTATTTACCATTACCGTTACCCACTTTGAGAATAAGTATGAGTTTTCAATAAATTAAGACTTTTTCGTCCTCTTTACGTTAACGCTTTTTTTAAGAACAAATAATTAAATGATTTTATTTTAAATGTTGGAGGAATAAAGGTACTCTTTTTAATGAGATGATTTCTCTAATAATGATAATTTAACCTGAATAACTAATTTTTCCACTTCATTTGAATAAAGATGAAACCTATAAGTCAACATTAACAACTTATCCTGGAAGTAATGTTCCACGAGCAAAATCAATCTTTGTTGAATCCAACTAACGGAAACAAATAGTTCATAGACAGGAATGGACACGCATTTCGTTATATACTCGAATATTATCAAACGGCAGAATATTTTGGCCACCAAATTACCATAGCTCTCCATCGGGAGGAATTTACAGCTGAGATCGATTATTTTCAACTTGTCACTCCAAGTTCTGTTTTTGGTGATTTAGTTCCTTATACGAAGAAAAAGAATACCAACTAAAAAACAAACTTGAAGAATTCATTCTCGTCTTAATAGAAATCGTCAACTGCATGTGCCAACACTCCATTGTTGACATAGCAATTACATTAGAAATA